AAGACTTAGACTGAGCTGTCTTTCAAGTGACCATTGGAGATGAAATAATGCTGTCTAATAAAGAAAGATATCCAAAGTCTAAATCTCACGCGCTTGTTTGCTCACTTAAGTCAAATGTATGAAACTTTTTACTCAGTCAGGGCCTCAGTTCCTCTGTGACATTTGTAAAATGGGATAATAATGCTTGCCTCTTCCTCAGAGAAGTCTTATGAGGTTTAGTTAGTGAGGGTCAGTTTGAAGGCCACCTCCAGCTGCATATAGTAGTAAGTGCAGCTAAAAGGGAAGGAGTTGGAGGAGACGAATAGCTGCAAGTGAGAGTGAGCTTTGGTTGCAGCAGACCAAGAGCCAGTTGCCAGCATTCCTCCTGAGAAAACTGATGTCACCACATTGTATCTGTGTAGCATACTACCAAACAAAGCTTACAGCAACAGCGTGTGCCTCTCACAGCACCCACACATTTTTTAATGAAAACACATTTTAAATACCAGCCCCTGATTTGGGAGAAAGTGCCAAAACAACACAATGGGATGTCTTTCATGCACATCAAGATGTCAGTCTGTGAATCCAAAGACCTTAGTTAGGCTTCTAGTTTGATCTTCAATTACATTGAGTGTGCAGACAAATAACACATTTAGCTGATGGAATGGGCCCCAAACTGCAGCAGTCCTTGTCTGACTACTTTGCTGCAGTCTGGGCAGCTAAACTCAGGGAGGGGAAGCTAACACTCAAAAAAAAAAAAAAATTCATTCCCTTCTGGGAGCAGCAAACACTGGGTCAGTTCAGCTATACTATAAAACTATTACTTGAGAGGACAAGTACTCAAAAGGCACACATCCCACATGCATGAGTGGTGCTCTGATAAGAAAAACACAACATAAGAATATCTAGGAGAAGACAGACCAGAACAAATGTCCTCTGTAACTCATCTCCAACAAGGCCAAAAGCTGATCCAAAAGGAAGAATAAAAAAAAAAGGCAAGCATGTGTAATTCCCACTACGACTGTCCTAGCCACCAACTATTTTCAGCTCAGGGAACTTCTGAGCTCAGTGTAGTTTCTGTGTAAATTATAACCCAGTAAATTTCTCTTCCACATAGGCTTCCACTGACCTCTTGGACGCATGTCAACTTTTAGCACACACAGCACACTGTTGAAGACCCACTTACCTTTACTTGCTCTGACACTTGTTCCTACAAACTTAGTATGTTCTTGTTCTTGTACTGGAAATTACCCATTCCTGTCTGGGTCACTTGTGACCTTGTAGACCTCTCTCACATTCCCATCAGTTGTTGCTTTTTCAGATTGAAGAGCCCTAACTTAGTTGCTCTGTATGTAGAACGCATCCCACTGTTTGATTGCTCTTGTTACCATTAACTGAACTTTCTCCATTTCTACTATATTCTGATTGGGAATGGGGAACCAGTACGGTGCACAATACTCAAAGTGCAAATAGACCCTAACTACTTGCTAGAATTCACCAGGAAGAGTGACCCTTCCCATCATCATATGCCTTCACAGTCTCGAGACACATACATGATGCAGTGCCATGATCAGACAGTTAACAGGTACATCCCCCAAAACACTGGACAGAAGTTCCTGTCAGTAACCCAGTACAGTAGCCTGCACATACTGGAAAAGAAGAGAGGTAAAATTCTCTCAAAAGCATGCAGCCATTTTACAGACTAACACCTATGCTACACAGCATATAATTGGGCCATAATTAATTGCTTTGTCAGAACACTGGGATGGAAGAATAGGCTTCATGAATCCCAGCTTCCTTGGCTCTAAGGATAATACAACAGTGAGCTACTTCTTTCTCAAAGGAGTCTCCTATCTCACAGTCTAAGCTCTTAATGTTTGTTAAGCACATGCAGTGCAGAGAGATGAAGCTAAATCAAGCAAAACGGTTTTTGACATTTCACCTCTTCCTTCCTGCACTGTAAATCAGGAGGGATGACACTGAAGTCAATAGCCCAGAGTAGCCTTCCTATTGAAATCTACTTATTCTTATCATTCTACCAGTGATAAATATGTATAAACATAGTTTATTCAGACTTTAAGAACTTTATATTCTCCCACAGAGCTGTAAATGGGTATTCATTCCATGAGAATAATGCCCAGGGGAGTCATATGTGTAAACCTGGTACCAAAGAGTCAAGAATACAACTCCTTTAGCCTGTTCAGTCAAATTAACCCTCTTGAATGTCTGTGTATCCCTATAAAAAAACGCCTTGCAGTCTTCAAACTGTGACTTGCCAGAGGTCTATATGCAGAATGTGAAACTACTGAAGTTTGTTTCTAGCAGTACCTCACCTCCCAAACTTAGTAACAAGAATAGTAAATTTGGTTCTTTAAAGGAGTGGTATGCTATCTTCCAAGTAAGCCAGTATAAAGCAAAATATTTTATCTCTGTTGCTACTACAGTAATTAAAAATACTGAAGATCAGCTACCTCAATATTCTTCAAAAAAATCAATAGCAATCATGTCATGTGCAATGCAGTGGCATTCTGCATTTACTTAATAAGGGTCAACAGAATGCTAGCAAAAGGTTAAGTTTAGGTTCAAGCTTCTGCAGCTGTAAGAGATAAGGAAGCCAAAAAGTGCCCATTTAGGACCTTAAAATACTTGAAAGGAAAACGAAAGATGAGATGCACAGAAGAGCTGCTACTCCTAACTGAGAGTTTCAAAGGCACTGAAAAAAATCAAATTGCAGACCTGGAACAGAAAACTCAGACAAGGAAATAACAGATTGATGTGAGTCTCCAGGCTCCAACAAGAGAAACTGAGATATTCCTGCCACAGGGGATTAGGAAAATGTTGGAGATAAAAAAAGATCTGGAGTGGTTATACAGCACTAACCTCTACAAAGTGCATGTTAGAGTGGCTTGGTCTTTGAAAAGAGAAGAATCCTCCATAGCTTCGCTGAATGTTGGTGTTTTGTTCCAGCCAGCACATTCAAAGTTGCAAAACAAGTAATCAAATCTGAACAGTTTTAATGTTCACAAATTATATTCCTTCTGGAACTCACTGCTACGTGGTATTCTATCACAAACAACACTCTTTTCTCTTTCTTACTTGGCTACAGTGATTTCCACTGTAGAGACACAGACATCACAACTGATGTATTTTTTCCTAACAGAAGTCATTAATTTGATATTTCTAATACAAAACCATGGTAAGCTTTCAGAAACAACAAAGATTATGTAGTGTGGAGTTCCACTAAATTAAGGATTTTGTAGCTATAAATTGCAGGAGACCATTCACTAATGATTCCATTTCTGGGTCACCAGGTTGCATTAAACTAAATCAAGAAGGAGATTTTACCAAGTGCTATAATCCAAGCTTCCTGTGTGCAATTAAGTACTCAATATATTAATAAAACATTGAATTAAGAAACATGCAGAAAAGACGTGGCATTTTTTAATACCATGGTTTTAATCAAAAGTTATTGAAATAAATGAAACTGGGGAGCATGAGTGGACTGAAATATTTACTGTATTTCACAATTTCCTTTAGCAGGCATACATGAAATAATCTTATCAGACCACAAATGCAAGAGGAATGTCTTTGCTTCAGTTTTAAATGGGGCTTTTTTTGTTTCAATGAAAAAACTCCACTGTTGGACTTTAACATTTTTAACACTTTGCCTTGCCCAAAGCCTCAACTATAGATCTGACTCAAATTACTTCCAAA